GTTTGTTACGAATAATCAATTCGTAACTGAATTAGAAATTCCAACGTAATTGTGATATTTACCGCATGGTCCTCATAAATATGGAGCCTTGCTGCAATAATTTCTCCAGGTACTGTGAGCAAATGTCGTCCATTGAGATGTATTACACTCGCACGACTCTCAAGCACCGTCATATTTATTTCGCTAAGCCATTTTAATACATCCTCGGTCTTCCAATCAATAACTTTCTTTCTATTATTTCTTAATCGTTCGATCAAGTTACTTTGTGAGACCAATTGCTGTGGGAGTCGCCAAACTGTTACGGTCTTATCCAATGCGCCTTTTCATTTGTAAAGAATAAAACAATAATTGTACAGATATCACCATACAGTTAATATTATAATAAGCTTTTAATAATTAGAGTTTTTCTGAGAGTATTCTCGGACCTGTGGCAAAGAATGAAGTATCATTAGAAAATGCACAAGAAGTGACGAGACTGTCATGGTTCTCCAGTACGTGCAGACAAACTCCGGAATTCTGAATGAAAAATATTAAATATTAACAATGTGTTTCTTACCAGTGAGAGTTAACATTAAAATACTGAAAATGATTGCTATTTTTTAGTTGACGTCAATTTGGCCCGCTAAGAATTTTTTTTCAAACATTTTTCTTTCTTTTTTTATAGATTATTATACCTCTCCTGCTGCCACATACATGTTAATTTGTTAACTCTATTTCCTAAAAGCTAGTGTAAAATCTATAAAAATATATCAAGCACTGTAAAGGCTATACATTTGTATAACTATTTGGCTTTGTTCGTAAGTCATCATCCGGGTAAACAAATATTGTTATAAATTTCAGTTTGAACTTATTCGTGAGTAGATTTCGACAGGTGCCGCAAAATATAACAGAGATAGTGAGATTTTTATAGAAGTTTTGTTAACAGCACCCATTGGCCTTCATAAACTAAATTTTCGTGAAGTGGATTCATCATCGGAGAGTCATGCATCATGATTATTAATAAGTTATTGTGATCACATTTTTATTTCACATTTTTTCAGTATGGTAGGCGACTTTATGAAGGAAATATCAATCGAAGAGATATGAATCATTTCGATTTGACGACTTACAACACTCCACAGCCTAGCTGTCCTATCAGTAGCAACACTCCCAAGGATCTCACCATGAACTGCTGCAAATCTTACATCCATGACATTACCTCCATGCCCAGCTAAAACTTTTTTCTCCATATACGAAATGGCGTTGGCAGTCAATCTCCCTAATCCTGAATCCCCTTCAAGAGTTTCGTTATCGTGTTCATCAGTTTGATCGAGTAAAACAGTGATTTGCCACAATTTAACGAGAGAATCATTCCCACACGTTGCTAGGACGTAGAATTTTGACTGATCGTCGGTAGAGGACTGCCGCATGCCTCGAGAATTTATTATGAGAAATAAAATAATTAATTTAGCATAATGGAGATTATGCGAGGGGGTAATCACTCATGAAATCTGGTGTACAGATGATATTGAAATATTAGGAAGCCCCATAAAATCGTTTGACATTAAATGAAATCCGGAAATCCCACGACATTCTAAGGATAAATTTATAAATTCACAGAATGATTTGAAATATTACAATTCAGTATTCATAAACAAATATTGAAGGGAAACTCACACACGAATCAAAAGAATAATCCACAAACTAGAAAGAATCTCAATGACTTTAAAATTGACTTTAGAAAATCCTTTAGAAAATCCCTTAAATTTCCTTGACATGCATTAAAATCCCTTGAAATCTCTGGAAATTCTGGAAATTCTGGAAATCATGAAATCATGAAATCTAGTGTACACGTTTTTTTTAGAATGATTACCCCTTTAAAATTATTAGATATTTCGGTACCTGCCACAGTGAATGGAGCGGATGCAGGACTAAAATCGCATCCCTGAACGCCAAGATCATGAGCTGCTTCACATACTAAGATGCTACTTGATGATTCTCCTTCAATATCAAAAATCCTCCAAGTGCCTTCACTGCAGGCTGTCACAATATACAAAGAATCGGGAGTAAAAGCCAGAGTGGTAATCGCATCAGCGTGTCCTTCAAAAACCCTAAAAGAATGACTAACTTTACATATTAATATCACAACGACACTGTCAATGGATTTCGAACAGTTTCATTCCTCTTAAATAGACACATAAATGCTTCA